TAGGCGACGCCTCCAGGTGTCTGGCTTTGTCCATTTATTATCGGTTAAAAAGCAGCAAATCCTGGGAACCATGACACACATCTGGTGGATTAGTAAAACAGATGTTGATTTGACTAGTTGTTTAAACTTGAACTACATTTTTAACTTAAGCTTTGATTGAAAACAATACTGTTGCATTTAATCTTTTTTTAAGAAACTGGATTAGCTTTAGAAGTCCTTCAGCGTCGCTCTCCAACTGAAATATTTACAGTACAAACCACCGATCAAACACTGTCAAAGCTGAAATGATCATTTTTGGCTACACACACTTGTTGTGTGAAGCTATAAAAACCTGGATGTACCTTTAGCTTAACACTGTCACTTGTGCACAAATTTCATGTGCAAATCATTTTCTGTTTTTAGTGCCTCAAACAGACGCATGCTTTAACGCACACACACGTGTAGCTTTGGCACCCAGACAAACAAACATGAGGAATGAAAGGCTAAACCTGGAGGAAAGGCACCGCCAAATTAAAATAAAATGCATTTACATCTATATACACACACAGTCCAAAGTATATAAAACATAAAATAATAATTACAATGGGAAAGACAAAGGAAATGGAGGTGAGAAGTGTAGAGGCTCTACAGAACAAATCAAATCTTTTCCAAAAAGTACGTTCCAGCCATAGATGATTTAACAATGAGCACTAACAAATAACCTGCAGCAATCGAGTCAAGGATCCTGTGTTTGTTTTACAGCGGGTGGACAGAACTGTACTACCCATGAGCCTCGTCTTCTGTGGAGCTCTCCTGGGCCCTACTGCCACCTGTGGAACCCGACCAATGAGAGAAGAGCTGAGGTGAGTCAGAGATGATGTCTCTCACACACACACACACACACTTACACACACACACACAGTGTTAAGGTGATGGAGGGAGTGCAAAGCAGTGAAAATGAAGAAGAAACAGGAGACGCTGCTCGTCGTGCATCGAGAGACGAAGTTGGCAGGTTCTGTTCTGCACATAAGAAAACCTCCTTCAGAACCTCACTGGCATTTTAATCATTTTAATAACTAGAACCTCGACAAAAACCTCTGTCAAAAGTGTGTCATGTGACTCGGCCCTGTGTTTAGATCAGGCCAGTAAGTACATGTACTCATGTACTGTACAATTTAGAGGTATCTGTACTTGAGTATTTCCAGATTTTGCTACTTCATCTTGTACTTTTTACTGCATTACATGTATCTGACAACTTCAGTTTCTTCAAACCAAACCCAGTAGAACCATCAGACTCTGTTTATCCCAGTGGGAAATCCACCAGCTACCCAGCAGGATGGAAAGTACTTCACAGTATAAGTATATAAGGTAGTTACCATCAGCTCCACCTGTTACTTAAGTAAAAATACAAATGTATCAGCATCAAAGCATACTTGAAGTACTAAAAGTAAAAGTACTCATTAGCAGAATGGCACATTCCTGTATTAGTGGATTATAATTACTGGTGCGTTATGTGCACGTCACATTTTATGCTGCAGCTGCTAAAGGGAAGCCAGTTTTAATTTTTAATGGCTAATATGGTTTTTATTTGAATAACTGCTGGGAAGCATGTGAAAGTTCTACCACAGATCAATGAGGTCTGATAACTGTACTGTACAATATTTACCTCTAAGACATAGTGAAGTCCAAGTTTAAAGCAACAGAAAATGAAAATACTCAAAGTACAGGTAACTCTAAACTGTACTTGAGTAAATGTACTTACTGTACTTGTAGTTACTTTTCACCACTGGGATCAGTTTTTGTTTTTTTTAGCACTGATCTGCATTTACTGTACGTTGTATTTTATTTTTAATACTCTGTGTAATTAAAGTTTGTTGTAGGATTTAAATACGGATATAATTTACCTCATACTTTCCGTAATAATCCAGAGCTAATGCAGCAACAGCAGCTTTTTAATACCTATCTGTAAAAAGTGGCGGGATACGCTGTCACCCTGTGTTTCAGATGGATTTAGTTGCTCTTAGTCAGCGTTGCATGGTGATACCTACTGCATGGGGATTTATTTTTGTTTTTATAAACCTTGGTAGGTGAGTGAGGGGAGCGTCCATGCTTTAACTTTTCACAGAAGCTGTTTTCTTCCTGCTCCACTGTTGTTAAAACCACCAGTGGTTCAGCTTCAGCTGTAGGAGCTGAACGATCTGACAGGAAGTAAACCTCTGTAACTCAGTGCTTAAGGTGGTGAAACTAGCCCGGACACGATGCTGTGACCTCGCCTCTCTGCACTGCCACAAACATCTCTGTTGCTTAATGAGTTTCACATTTTATTGGGAAATGCAGATATCCATCGTGGATCAAAACATCAGACCAGCTGTGTTTGTGCCGGGCTGCTGTTCGTCGCTCTGTGCCTTCTTGTGACTGTTTCAGTGGCCTGTACGTTGAGGTGATGAAACGTCCTCGGACATATCCAAGGTCTTCTACACTGTTTCGTTCCAGCTCAGCATTGTTGGCTAACTAGTTGGGAATCATTATGAAATCGTTTTTTCTTAAAATCCCATTTATTTGTCCATTAGGGTGTAAGTTATTTAAATTGGATTTAAGGGGATAAATGAGTTCATATCACATTCACATTAAGGCATCTTTAAAGGGTAAAGAAAAAAAAAACCTTTAAACCAGACCAAATAATATGAAGACATCCCTTAATTTATACCTTAAAATGTGAAAATGACTTTCATGCTACTTTTTAAAGGGTTCTGACCTTCTGAGCAAATAAACCACGAAAAACCCTTTCAATTAATAACCTAAAAAAGTAATTATTACTTTATCGGTTTATCAATTTTTCCCCGAATTTGGCCCGACCCTCTGAATGCAGACCTTAAAGAAATACAGTCCTTTTTTAGAGCTACAAATTAAGGGGTAGCTCAAATGTTACTTTCAAGGAGGCAATGTCCCATCAAAAACCCCTTAATCTGTCAAAGATAACACCCATAAATATCTTAATGTATTAGTCCATCAATTTGGCCAAATGCAATGTAAAATTATTAATTATTGTACAATTCTTAATATCTGAAAACTTAATTTTAAAAATATCTTAATCATTCATTTGTACATGAAAATTTTCAGATACCAAACCAGAATTCCTAACCTTAATAACATCTTAACTTGAGTGTAAGGGATTTAAAATTAATGTACAAAGTAAAGGGAATGTAATAAATGACTTGAATTCTTTCAAAATTAAGGGGGTTGGTTTTTGACAAATGGACAAATACTGGGATCTCTGGCTTTCATAAAAACCCTTTAGATTAAGGTGAGCTTTCAGGGCTAAATTTAGGATTGTTATTTTAAGGGATTGTTTCATAGTGTTTCACGTGAACAGTTGTCAGTAAAAGCAAAGTGTACAAAACAAACAGGTCATGAATCGTCTGAGTAGAAAGTTGTGGACCTCCAATATGGACACCAGAGGACGTGTCATCACTTCCAGGTCACGGCGAGATTATCTGTGAGAGCACGCCTGCGTTTTGTGAAGGGATCGGGTCAGACATGCCGGTTGTGAGAGCGTTTACACAGCCAACAGACAGGAGTGAGATGATTTAAGGAAAAGTTAGACATGAGGGATGAAACAGGTT